GAGAGAGAGAGAGAGAGAAATGGTTTTTTTTTGTTACTACTTCTATTCACGCGATCTTCACGGTACTGCGCGTTCGTGCATCGAACTCTCCCAGAATAGGAATATAGCCGGTGCCTCTTTCACGAATACATCCTCGGTGTCGACTTTCATGAACACCTTCCACAAATCATACTGGTGTCAGTTTCGATTGATGGTTTCGTGTGGTGATGTGAATATATACGCGATAGATTGTATTCGAATGTACGGGATAATCAGCGATTTTACCGGCATACTAATGTAGTTACGCAAATCATCTCGAGCCGTCACCGTTAAATATATGCAAAGTATCGTACACTCCTTTGACAATACGTAAACACATTCGAGTGATAGCAATCTAAAACTGTAATTGTCACACACAGAATATAACAATTCGTAATATAACAATTCTGTTATAAAATTGTATCAAAATTGATCGATCTTCTTGTACTCTTCAAAATCAGTAAGATAATCTATTTTAATCTTGTTAATATAAATATTAATGAAATAGGTTTATTAATATTTATATATTTCTTACTTAATAATATATGAATTCCTTCAATCAGCCTTCTTATTACATTAAAAGTTTTCATTTATATAATAATTAGATATCAATTCTTTACACCAACATTTAATTTCATTGCCAATGTTAATATTGCTTTAAAGTTTATCGCTGCAGGCGTGAAAATAGCAAGATTATATAATGTAGCTGTTTCGCCAATTCATTTACCGGTTACTATTGGAAGACTTGAGAGATCGTAATCATTAGCTCGCGACCGGCGTTTTACTTAATCGAGGATCTTGGCGTCAACATAAAGTTCCAATGTCAATGTCGATTAATTAGAAAGATTATTTGCAAATGTATGAAATAAATCAATAAGTATTTTTTAAAAATATTTCAATGTTAAATCATCTAATTATTGATTAATTTACTTCGATTATTGATTTTATTTAAATATGCACATGTAAGGAATAAAAACAAACAGCGTATATAAAAAAAAATATAAAAAAAAAATTCGCGATATCAAATTAGTTATCTTTAAATAAATATTAATACATAATGATATGTGACATACATATATCATATAAAAATTAATGTTTGTTTTGAATGTAAATTTAGATTAATTTTGTTTTGAAATGAAGCTAACCAATTTCTATTTAATTTATAAACCAATATATAAATCAATTTCTTTATTCAATTTAATTTATAAAAGATAAATTGTGATTTAAGTTAAATATTAGTATATATATTATATGATGATACATGTCTTATACAAAATTGACATACAAATGGAAAATATGAACTATAAACTGGAAGTCATTCTAGGCAAGAGATAAAAAAATTGCTTATCTTTAGAAATTTTTCTTTCGTGAAATGTTCTATTATATTAATATATCTTTGTAAATTAATCATAAATGTATATGCAAATTGTATATTCATAAATCCTACCGTCAAGAGATTGAGGCAAAGGCTCGTTCGTAAAATCATGGTCACGCTGGTGCTCCGTGAAGTTGCAAACGCGTTCCTCGAGTTTCCTCTTCGTCGTTTTTGCAGCGATCGCCGAGCCGAAACGTTCCCTCACTTCTCAAGCAAGAGCCGCCCATTTACATACATTACAATCTCCAAAGAAGAAATTTCTCCGTCAAATAATCAAAACCTAAAACCTACGTAGAGATATCTTTTTAACTGTGATATTAAAAATGAGATTAAGTTCTCCGTTGAGAAAGAGAAGCGCGCACGAGCGCGACATTTAAAGGTTCACGAATAAAACGGATAAGAGAGAAGAGAAAAAGAGAATCACCCACTTTCGCGAATCGGATGAGACTGCGGAAACAGAAAAGCGGAAGAGGATAGCGTCGACGCAGTGATCGACTGCATCGAGGCGGACCGAGAGGACGCGATACTGTGACTGAGAACCGGCGGTGTCCCCCGCATTTCCAGATCCGCCGTACACGATCTATGCTCCTTCCCTTGCGACCATCCCCCTCCGTAAAGAGAGCCGCGAGACGGTTTTCCCCCGCGACTAAGACCGCGCCTGCCCACTATCGCGAGTACTCCACATTCATGTGACGCGTGTTCCCGGATGGGTCTGAAATTATTAGCTTGCGCTACGTATAATCTTTGCACGCGCCACGCGTGATCCCGCGGCGATCCTCTCGGAGGATGACGTAAGGGGGTAGCGATTCGGTCCATATAAGTGCAGAACATCTTCCGCCAAATATCTCTATGATTTGTCACAAGAAACGCGTTTTTGTACAATTTATTAAAAAATGTAAGCTTTTCAACTTTTAAATTATTTTGAAATTATTAAAATATTTATTTATATATGATTTAATTATAAAACTTTATTATTGAGATTTATCTAGAAATATAAAGTAAAAATATTCTGGAATAATATTTCTTTTGTTTTAGCTGTTATTATTGAGGGAAATGTGTTGGACTTAGCCACAAGTTTTGCATTTTTACTTTATTTCGCATAATTTATAATTATTTATATTCACATGTAACCAGTCATAAGTACGCGGTCTTTGAAAGAAATACATCAAGGAAGTCGTGAATCGGCAAAATATTTCACCGTGAGAGTTACTTAACTATCTTCGAGCAATGTGAAAGATCGAGGTCTTGTGAGATACAATTCAGGATACATGGAAAATCATTATACCTGATACTTGTGATATTATCAATATATCTAAGATGTATATAAATTTTTCAGAATATCGTGATGAAATTCAATTTGACTGAAATTTACCACATAAAACATAAAAAAACAATTCAGTGAAAAGTATTTTCAATTTTAAAATATTATAAAAATATACGTTATAATATTTTCTATTTCCTAAAAATTTAATACATATAAAGGATAATAAATTAAAATAATAATCTATAAAATAAATTTACAAAAAAATTTTTATATATAGATTTTTAGATTTATTTTTGTAGTGTAGTATCTTGATAATAATAATAATATCTTTTGTATGCATATAATGGAGTCTAATTACATCAATTACAAGTCAAGGGTATCATCCAGGATGCATCAATCACGAGAGGTGCTTTGCATGCATTTTCCAATTATCGATTAAATATGTATTCATACAGACTTAGAATAAATTTGCATACTTTTTTATTTGGAAAATCAGAAAGAGTTCCGACATATGTGTCGCTTTTATTAACATTACGTTGCATAGTATGCATATTTCCCAGTAGTATGCATCCTTGATACAACGTTTCCCAGGACAATAGTAGCCGGAAGAAATGTTGCAGTTTTATGTCATCTCGCATATTTGCGTCATCTTTGGGTCAGGTAATCATCGTTCCGTAATCATTGTTCGCATTACCCGTAATCATCTGACGAAACAAACATCGGCAATCTGACCGTTCCGTTTAGTCACCGGAAGAATTTGTCATTTGCGCTAAAAATTGCCTCGACTCTAATCTTGCGTCGTCAGCTCAAACGCATAGTGGCAAATGGTGACTAACCATTATCTGCCATTCGCATTTTTTCTTCGTAGAAATAATATACATAAGATTGAGAAGAGCAAAATATATTTTAATTTTTTTAAGACCATTATAGAAAATGATTGGAGAAAACAAATTCTTTAATTAAACATATTATTTAAGTTTTATTTCTATAAAAATAACCTTTAATCAATAAGACTTATTTTATATTATTTAATTGATAGTTATTAAATAATTCTAATAATAATAGATATTTTAAAGTTTTAATATGTGTATTTTTCTTACGGAATCTCCGATGGAAGTTTTTTTCAAAGAGGAAAGGTGCTTCTCTCTTTTCTGCATACATCCGCACATATCTATACATTCAGTTTCATTATAACGACACGGTTTTTTAGTTAAAGAACATCAAACGGATCATTTCGATCGAGAAAGCGTACAGATTGCAAAAACTGCCGTAGAGTGTTTTTTTATCAATGATACGTGAAGGTAAACGTTACCGTGGCGCGCGGGTTGCGAGCAAGTTGCGCGATAGAGAGGTAAATGAAGTAAATGAAATTCTGTCTGTGGAGTTAATGTCTCTTTGGGTATCTCTGCGATCCGAATAAGTAATTTCCATCACAGCGTGAAATCTGGTTTTGCCGCAGACGCTTCCTTTCCTCGCGTTAGATTGAACGATATCGCGTTTCCATGCGGATAGAGATGCGGACAACGGAAAATAAACAAGCTCCAACGCTCTACGCACGATGCCTTCAACGCGTTAATTTATAATTTTATAAATATCACGCGAAATCGAAAGTGCAGAGATAGTATGTCTCGCGAGAGAAAGCTCTGAAGTATCGGCAAGAAATATCCGAAGACATGTAACATTGTCGTCAAAAGAAATAATTATTACGTCAGTAGAGCCTTACGTCGTTTTATCATGAATCCGTACGATTCCATTCGTCCGTTACATAATGCTGCAAAATAGCAAAGGAAATTATTCATAATACATAGATGGGATAATAGGAACACTTAAGCTAACTTGGCTTTTAATTTGCAGCGGATTAGAAGAATGCCAAGCGAAGAACGTCATCAAACACGTCTTTCTCTCTTTCGAAAACCTCTTCTCTGTTCTACCATTTCTACTTCCTACTTTAAAAAAAGTCATGCTGGCAGGACAGAGCCGACTGAGAACGACGACAAGATCGCTCTCGCGATTGTCCGAGGTGCGTGGGAGTATGCCTTATTCGCATCCCTTTGGAACAAAGACTTGAAGAGAATAACTGATCTTTTGACCAGGACCTTTTCTTACGTCAGCATAAAAAAATATTTTACATGAATATTTTTTAAAACGATGTTTTTTGAATGAATTTTCCAAAACTCAGTTATTAATGAAAAGATCTTAATTAAACTCTTTTAAACTTATATAATTCTTATATGTATTTCCATCAAAGTTAGTAGTCAGACTGTGCATGATTTATGATCTTTGCATCTTTAATTTTTTGTTACAAAACCGCTCTATTGCTGAGTTATATATGAGTTGTAAATAATAAATAGCCTGATGACAAATCTGCACATTTATATTACTTATATTATTCATCTCATAAATAGCAAGCTGCAATCCCAAAGCACAAATAGTATGAATCACGCATAGTCTAGCATTAGCTTAAAAAGACAAAAACCGTCTTGAAAATAAAAGATCTTAACATTTTCAATAATGATTTTCTCTAATTGAATCTATCTAATTCCAATCGAATTTTAAAAGAAGATATGACATTCTTCGTTGAGAGAGATATCAAGATATTAATTAAGATATTTTAAAAAAAAAAAAACATCGAGAAACATGACTTCGAGCAAATTTACGAGATTGACACTGATTTCAAAATATAAAAAAAAAAAAAGAAGAAAAAACTCAATAAACATTGTCCCTTCATTCGGACATTCTCTGAGAGGATCTCTGCGCTCCTGTTATCAGGAACTAGCTATCGCGGTAATCGAGATCATCTGCCACGCTTGCGGAACACACAGCGGAACACAAACCCCCCCCGCATTGTGCCTCCCATCTGACGCTCGAGCGAGCCTCACCGCGTATTTTCTCCTTCGCTTGCCGCGCTTACGACGCGGCGCTTTCACTTTTACGAGCGGAGAGCAGAGGCGGCGGTGTCGAGTGCGGATAGGCGCCGTTGTGTGCGCGTATGTGTGCGTGTATGTGTGCGCGACAGCCGACAGCTTTGATAGCGAAATTTCGGAAGCTTGCTTTGGCGATTTGAGAAAGTATCACACAGAACGCATAGATTAATTTCGCAATTCGTATCCCTCCTTACGATGATGACAGACCCGTATGGAAAAAATTGGAAAAAGGTACGTAAAAAAAAAAATTCATTTTTCAATGCTCACAGAATAATAATGAATAATAATGAATAATTATATAATAATTAACATAAATCTCTTGTATTATGTCCCAATAGACGTATTATAATAATACGTTTTCTGTAAGATAACTGTAATAACTAATTTCGATGAATCTCTGCTCTGTTCCATTTTATGTTTTTATTTGGAAAAATATGTCACGTATCATGTTAAGTAATATCTATAGAGAAATATCGATTTTCTTAAATTAATTAATTTTCTCGATTTCAAACGCACAAAGCAATTATATTAATTATAAATAATCAACTGGTGAATAAGGATTGCATGTTTAATAATTAAAATGATCGCGTATCGCTCACGCGATATGTACGGGGTGCAAAGTGTGTGCGATGGAGCAAGGTACAAGTGAACAGTTTTGTACGCGATGCAATGATTCGCACAAAGGAGTGTCGCGAGATTAAGTTCTCACGGTTGGCAAATGCAGACACCTTACATCCTCGGGAAATTGATAAAATCGTACATTCGTAATTCTGACGCGTATGAATGATACTCTGATGTCTGACATTGCGCGTATTCGCAAGCCGATGTCCCCATGACACTAAACTATCTACTATTTCCACATTCTCTCTTTTGTTTCGTTTATTTTATCAGGTCAGATATTACATAAATGAAAAACCTACGAATACTATGTCTACATTGATGTTTATATTTGACCTTAATAATTAAATATTAAAAATTGTATCTATAATTGTCATAAAAGCTATATTGTTTTTTCGTTATTACAATAATAATTATTGTGGTTGTAAATACGAAATAGAACGTAGTTTAAAGATTGAAAGTGTTAAATATATAATAAAATAAATAAATATATATATATATATATACATAGAAAAATATGTATTGTATATATTGAAATAAAATATTTTTATTGAATATCTTTCATTTTTAATATAAATATTATTTTATAAAAATTATTACATTATATGGTATTAATCAATTTCTAAATAACAAAATAATTTTATAAACATTATTGAAAACTAACAGCAATGTGCAAAAGTAAAATGAAAGATATGTTATCATTCATTCGTGAAAATAATATTAGTCAAATTTAAA